CTTTGTATTCCTGTGGTTTAGTAGCAGTTTTATTTTTGGTCGGAATTCTTTTTATTCGCCCGAGCGCACTGTAGTTTGGGAGTCTTCAGAGGATGTCATCCATAAAATTAAGTCGGTGTGGCCATATATCAAAATAGGTAGTCTGATCTGTTACCATCGACCACTGATACCCATTAGTTTACGTTGCTTAGCTATTCTTCATGCATGAACTATCGTGATAATCATTTCAGCTTTATTATGTATTAATCTTGCGGAAGTTTAGATTGTTGTTCACAGAACATGATGAAACATTTTCCCGACTAAGTAGCAAAGGTTGCCCACCCAGGCCTTGCCTGTGTCTTAACTCTATTTCTATTGAAGAATGTGTACATTTTATGTGGGGTCGTGTGGCGTAGCGGCAGAGTGCGCGACTCGGAACTAAGAGTCCCGGGTTCGAGTCCTGACATGCTACCGATCTTGTACCCTTGGGAAAGGCACTTTACACGATTTTCCTCACTTAGCTCAGGTGTAAATGAGTATTGTTCTATCATGTATTTGTCCTCTGTGTTGGTGGCGGCATTAATATAAGTTGAAAAAACTTGAGTGTGTCGTCACCACGTCTGGTGATTACATGTTGGAATAAGAAAAATGTGTATATTTCAGGTGGTTACTGAGACCGTCACAGTTCAGTGGTACTACAACTACACAGCTGTAGATACTACATCTGCCAGCCTTCCCCCGCACCGAAGCTGGGGATACAGTACAGGGACGGATCCCGAGGTGGCCCACAACACCAGGAAAATGTTCCCGGTAAAGCCCGTATTTGGAGACGACCCTACTCAGATTCCCGATGCTGGCATGCCCCCTTTGGATGAAGTTCGCCCGCCTATTCAGGCCCCAACTGTCTTTGGATGCACCGTGCAGGAGGAAATTGACGGCAAACCAGATATATTAGAGTCTTGGGCCTTCATGACGACAGATCAGCGCAACGTGTACCTCGCCATGGCGCGGCTTCGCATCAGGAAGCACTTCTACAAGATTCTCAACCGCGAGTTTGATCCTAAGATGGCGCCCGCCTCTTACAAAATGACCCAGTCTGCGGTGAAGCCGGACACATCTACTGTTGAGAAAACAAAGGGCGAGATGGAGAAGACGGAGATGGCTGCGGAAGGCAGGGTGCTGGTGGAGAACGCCACAGAAACGTCGACAAAAAACGCGACAAGCCACGAGGGGAATCACCACATGATCGGGGGTATGGAGCGGGTTGAGACGGTCGTACTGACGGTGTTTGCGGGTGTGGTGGCTGCCGGGTCGGTGGCCTACAGCTACAGCTGCACGGCACAGATCACTTAAGTTAGAGACAGGTCCACACGTGGTTGGAACCGATATGCATATTTTTATGTTCTATGATTATGACCTCCTGATGAAGTTGACTTAAAAAAAGAAATACCCCTGCCAAGATGGCAAACAGATGCCATTAACTTTTCTTGCCACGCTCGGTAATGGGTTGGTGCATATTTGAGAAACATTGTTCAATTGCTTGTTTTACAGTGACGTTAATTGATAACTGTAATTTCTTTTTTCTACTAAAGACATAAATGCCCGAGAGAAAGCTGAAGAAAGAAAGTATAGAAGAAAGCTGTTGTATTTCATGTATGTTTCACACTCTTCTCCTGGGTGATGTTGAATGGCCTTGGCAGTTTACTACAGGTCTGAATTGATGCACAATTGAGATACGTGATAAGAATACATCCCGGTATGTTTGGTATTCTGTCTAGCCCACAAACGATTTCTGGGTGATATGTGCAGTTTTACAGGTGATGGGAGATTTATTTAAATTTTTACCTTGTTTTCATGGTTTAATTTCGTGTCATAATTAACGGGGCCACCGGAAAACACGAAGACCACCCACCCTGATATTTACTTGGGGATTACTGGGACATTGAAATACATTGCTCGGATGTAAAAAAAAAATAATGTTACGGGAATGCATTGTTTTGCAACTCTGTCTATAGTATTTCATTGTGTTTCTTTCACTCGTGCATATTCAGGTAAAGATGAAATTGTGGATATGAAAACCTCGCGAGTATACATATGGTACAGCAACTATGGTCTCTTTTTAAATAAATTTAACGTACGCGTAGAAATAATCACAAGAAGTGTGTGTGGATGGTGTTCAGTACCAAGGACAGGCATGTTTACCTGTGTGCGGCTGGTGTTCAGCACCAAGGACAGGCATGTTTACCTGTGTGCGGCTGGTGTTCAGCACTAAGGACAGGCATGTTTGCCTGTGTGTGGATGGTGTTCAGCACCAAGGACAGGCATGTTTACCTGTGTGAAGATGGTGTTCAGTACCAAGGACAGGCATGTTTACCTGTGTGTGGATGGTGTTCAGTACCAAGGACAGGCATGTTTACCTGTGTGTGGAAGGTGTTCAGCACCAAGGACAGGTGTATTTGTGTGTGTATGGTGTTCACCAAAAAAGGACATGTGCGTTTGCCTGTGTGTGGATGGTGTTCAGCACCAAGGACAGGTATATTTGTGTGTGGATGGTGATGGCTTATCAGGGGAGTTTTTGGCGTAATCCCCAGCCTCTCTCTAGAGTACATATACTGCAACTTTCTTAATCCGAAAAGCAATGCGCTAACCTTTAACTAAGAAAGCAACGCAAAATCTCTTGATTCACCGAAGACTTCATTTTACTTCTCTCCGTTCTAGAAAGCAGCACTCTTAATCCCCAAAGCAACTTGGCTGCTTGCGTCCTTCCACTTCGTCCAAAAACGCACGTGTGCGCCGTTCAGACAATCAGCCCCACCATGTACGCAGTCTAATCTCGGGTTGTTTGTCACAAGACATTGACATTGTGGACCAGCTACCGAAGGAGGCAGACACACCCTACAAGAAAAACAGCAACCTGTGCCCGAGGCATTTTACGAGTTCCTACCCAGAGTACCAAAAGGTATGAGTGCGCCAGTTAACGACCAGTTAAATCGGTTCTGACAGTTTGCTATGCCTTAATCAAGGTATGATTTTCTAAGCAGATGTTGAGGCGCGGAAAATTGTGACATTTTCTCACTATCGGCAAGGGTAGATAGCTGTGAACACAAATATTGTATAGGGAAGTCGGTGCAACATTTCATGCTCTTGTGCGCGATCATTTGCAATTCCTGTGGATTTCATGTTTAGGCCACACCAATTTAATTTGTTGGTTCTCGGATTCGCCTCTTCGTTTTTTTCTGATTTGCAAAAAAAATCGATTCTGGTCCTGAATCAACTGAAAAATGCTCATGTTTTGCCCCCAACAGTTGAGGAAAGTCCTTTTCTTCCTAGTTGTTACAGTTTTCCCATCTATCATTGCAGTGGTTTGATTAAAAGTTCAAAATTCAGTGTTTTAATTTTAACCCGGCCTTTTATGTTGACTTTATGGCTCATTTCGTAGCATTTAAGCCTATAATAGGATGCCTAGACCTGTTTTTATTTTCATTTTTTTTCGCCCTGTCGCTTCATATTTTTTCTGAATAAATCCGAGAACCAACAAATTAAATTGGTGTGGCCTTAGATAGAGAATTTTAAGGGGTAGTCCTTTGATTGGATTGTTTAATCTGCTCAGTTTTTCTCTCTTGCTTCTTAATCGAATGTGACAGTCACAGTGATGTGGTCACGTAACTCTATTGTTCAGCGGTTCAACGTACGCCTTAGCAACGATGTATCTTTTTCATTCATGTTCCCTTCCAGAGAGAATATTGCTAAGTATTACAAACATCTGTATCTGTACCTGTATAGCCGGCATAACTGCCATTCGGCGTAACACACCAGCGTCGCAGGCACGCGGCGTGGCGGCAGCTGACTATATTACACCGATCGACTTCTTTTCTATGGAGGGGACAGAAATAATAGTAAAGTTTTCACATGAAGAAATCTTGTATATTTGTGTTGGAAATGACAGGTGACATCCCACATAATTTGGGGAGTTAAAACTTCAGAATGTCTACAAGCTGAAACCTCGCGTCTTGTTGCTAAGGTAAGTCTCGATCGGGGAAAAAGAGATTCTACCTTGACATTTTTCCAGTGCCATTGGTAAGACACAATACTTGCATAAATAAAAAAAAATCATTCATGTACATGATCAAGGTAGAAAGTTTGAAGTTTTCCTAATCTTCTCCTTGTCCCAAAATCACCGCAGACCTGTTTATGAAAAAGCGCCGCATCTTTCGGTTCCACGTCCAAGAAAGCCATGAACCTTTTTTCATCCAAACTGGCAAACAGCACCGAACTTTTTACCTCTTTGAATTTACGCTTCAGACAATCAACCCTACCACGTATGTAAGACTAATCTTCGGTTGTGTCTCACACGGCTTTGCGGATCAGCTACCGCAAGCGGGGCACACTTCTCTTGTTTCTACCCAAAATCTTTTCACACAGCGCTCTTTGATATTTAAATCCCCCAAAAGAACCGAACTTCTCTGTCCAAAAAACAACCCAAGTCTTTCAATAAAAGGCATCGCATTTTCCGTACAAGAAAAGAACGCACTTCTCTTCATACAAAAAGCACTTCAGTCGTTATCTCTTCGCAATCATCCAGGAAAACACTTTTCAGACAATCACCGCGACTGTGTTTGGATTTTTTTGTCCCACGGTCATTACAGATGAGCTACCGAAGGAGGACACACCCTACAAGAACAACAGTGTAACCCTTGCTCCAGTTCCTACCCAGAAAGTGTCAAAATGAAGCTACCGTGACTGAATTAAAAGGTACGTGTCTGCCAGTTTACAATAAGTAAGGCTAAGATTTTTGTAGATTTTTGTCTTACGCCCAGTCCAATGTTTTTTACACAGTTATTTCTCATGATGGGCTCTGTCACTGCTGATTTGTTGACTTAGTCACTTTGAGGTCCAGGGCATCAGGTTGGTGTGACATATAAAATGATAAGATTGCCGTTCTGTTTAGGTGTCAGGACACAATGGGAAGAAAGCTGAGACACGTGCTGATTTTCCTTCTCATCATCCTGAAGGAACAGAACATGCCAGAAACTGCCTGCATCTGTAGTCCATCATCATATTGCAGGGTCAGTCAGGGTCTCATTAGCATCCCTCAAAACCTCGAAACATCCATCTCTGTGTTAACTCTAAGAATTAACTATATTAAAACTATAAAACAGTCTGATCTGTTACGGTATAAGAATTTGGGTATCGTGTGCCTCAAACACAACCAGATAACAAAGATTGAAGCTGGCGCATTTGCAAATCTGCCCCAGCTACAAAAGTTGTGGCTGTCCATTAACAACATAACTACCATCCACCCTGGTACATTTGCAAATCTGCCCAAGCTACAACTGTTGTGTCTGAATCGCAACCAGGTAACTACCATCCCTTCTGATACAGTTTCAAATCTTCCCCAGCTACAAATGTTGGACCTGGGCAGCAACCAAATAGCTACCATCGATCCTGGTGCACTTGCAAATCTTCCCCAGCTACAACAGTTGTGGCTTGGAGACAACCATATAACTACCATAGATTCTAGTACACTTGCAAATCTTCCCCAGCTACAAATGTTGCGGATGTACGAAAACCAGATAAGTACCATCCCTTCTGGTACATTTACAAATTTTCCTCAGCTACTATGGTTGGTCCTAAACAACAACCAGATAACTACCATCGATACTGGTACATTTGCAAATCTACTCCAGCTACAAAGGTTGTACCTTGAGTACAATCAGATAACTGTCATTCCTTCTGGTTCATTTGCAACTCTGCCCAAGTTAGAATACTTGGGACTATACAACAACCAGATAACTACCATCGTTCCTGGAACATTTGCAAATCTGCTCCAGCTACAAAGGCTGCTCCTTCATTACAACCAGATAACTGCCATTCCTTCTGGTTCATTTGCAAATCTTCCCAAGCTACAAATGTTGTGGCTGAGAGACAACCGGATAGCTACCATCCATTCTGGTGCATTTGAAAATCTGCCCCTACTAAAATGTTTGACAATTCAAAACAACAACATGTCGGCCATTCCTCTGTCAGTCTTCGGCCTGTTCCCATCTAATATCACCATAGAACTTGGCGGGAACCCCTGACAGTGTGACTGTCGCATGGCTCCCGTCAGACTAATCCATGCATTTAAGGACCAGATAATTTGTGCCCAATCCGCCAAACTTCAGGGACAGAAGCTTGTAGATGTCAATCCGGAAGAATTGGTATGTGAAGCGTCAACCATACCAACATTGTCTCCCTCTATCCAAGTAACCTCTTACAATCCTCACAGATACTTTATACCCAATGCTGACTTACCAGCAAGTCCTGCAGGCAAAACAAAAGCAACACCAACTTCACCCCATCGCAAAACAGAAACTGCTCCGAATCCCCCCCTACTTGTTCTCATTGGCTCTATCTGTGGTTCAGTTGCTGGTACGGCTCTAATTGGCACCTTCTTGGCTGTAATTTTGAACAAAAGGAGGACCAGGAATCCTCCATTAGGGCTGAATCCCGGTGTTGTTGGGAACAACACAAACACAGCAGCGTCTGTAGTGGGCAGTGGTCATGGTCAGGCAGGGCAGGGTCAGTCTCAGGCCAACACTGAATCCACCACAAACACAACAGCTACTGTAATGGCCAGTGATGATGATCACCAGTATGAAAATATTGACAAGCCCCGTGTCAAAACAGGGCAGGGCCAGGCTAACATTCAATCTCTGAACATTGGGAATCTATCCCATAACAAAGTGCTAGCTTCCCTAAAGCCAAATCTTATGTATGCTGGTAACACAGCAGTTGCTGTAATGGCCAGTGGTGATGATCACCAGTATGAAAATGTTGACTGCCCACGTGTTAAGATAGGGCAGGGTCAGTCTCAGGCCATTGTTCGATCCCACACAAACACCACAGCTACTGTAATGACCAGTGGTGATGATCAGACAGGGCAGGGTCAGTCTCAGGCTAACACTGAATCCAACACAAACTCCACAGCTGTATGCATGTATGCAGGTGAAGGAAACGCAGCAGTTTCTGTAATGGCCATTGGTGATGATCACCAGTATGAAGATATTGACAACCATCATGTTAGGAGAGGGAAGGGTCAGTCTACCAACATAAACACCACAGCTACTGTAATGACCAGTGGTCATAATCAGGCAGGGCAGGGTCAGTCTCAGACAAACACTGAATCCAACACAACCCCCAAAGCTACTGTAATGGCCAGTGGTCATGATCAGGCAGGGCAGGGTCAGTCTCAGACAAACACTGGAATCTCGGATGCTAGAAATCTGTCTTATGGCACAGGGCAGACTGCCTCGCAGCTGAATTCTCTGTACAAGCACAAAACAGCTACTGAAATGGACACTGAATCCAACACAAACACAACAGCTACTGTAATGACCAGTGATCATTATTACCGGTGTGAAGATATTGACGGCAATAGCGTTAAGACAGAACAGGGTCAGTCTAAGACTATCACTGAATCCAACACAAACACCACAGCTACTGTAATGACCAGTGGTGAAGATAATATAGGGCAGGCTAACGCTCAATCTCCGACGATTGCAAATATGTCACGTAACGAAGTGCTAGCTGCCTTACAGCCAAACCCCATGTATGTAGATGTAAAAACGCCACCTAAGGACCCAACATCTACAGAAATGGCCAGTGGTCATGATCAGACAGGGCAGGATCAGTCTCAAACTAATATTCAATCTCTGAAAGTGGGGGATTTATCATATGACGAAGTGCTAGCTGCCTTACAGCCAAACACTATGTATGTAGATGTTGAACATAATTATTCTGAGACAGGGCAGGGTCAGTCTCAGGCTCTCTGTGAATCCAACCCAAACACCACAGCTCCTGTATTGACCAGTGGTCATGATCAGACAGGGCAGGGTCAGTCTCAGACCAACACTGAATCCAACCCAAACACCACAGCTCCTGTATTGACCAGTGGTCATGATCAGACAGGGCAGGATCAGTCTCAAACTAATATTCAATCTCTGAAAGTGGGGGATTTATCATATGACGAAGTGCTAGCTGCCTTACAGCCAAACACTATGTATGTAGATGTTGAACATAATTATTCTGAGACAGGGCAGGGTCAGTCTCAGCCTCTCGGTGAATCCAACCCAAAAGCCACAGCTACTGTAATGACCAGTGGTCATGATCAGACAGGGCAGGGTCAGTCTCAGACCAACACTGAATCCAACACAAACTCCACAGCCACTGTATTGACCATTGATCATTATTACCGGAATAAGGATTTTGAAAAGAATTATTTTAAGACAGGGCAGGGTCAGTCTCAGGCCAACACTGAATCCAGCACAAACACCACAGCTCCTGTATTGACCAGTGGTCATGATCAGACAGGGCAGGATCAGTCAGGAGCTAATATTCAATCTCTGAAAGTGGGGAATTTATCACATAACGAAGTGTTAGCTGCCTTACAGCCAAACCCGATGTATGTAGATGTAAAAACGCCACCTAAGGACCCAACATCTACAGAAATGGCCAGTGGTCATGATCAGACAGGGCAGGATCAGTCTCAAACTAATATTCAATCTCTGAAAGTGGGGGATTTATCACATAACGAAGTGCTAGCTGCCTTACAGCCAAACCCGATGTATGTAGATGTAAAAACGCCACCTAAGGACCCAACATCTACAGAAATGGCCAGTGGTCATGATCAGACAGGACAGGATCAGTCTCAAACTAATATTCAATCTCTGAAAGTGGGGGATTTATCATGTGACGAAGTGCTAGCTGCCTTACAGCCAAACACTATGTATGTAGATGTTGAACATAATTATTCTGAGACAGCGCAGGGTCAGTCTCAGGCTCTCGGTGAATCCAACCCAAAAGCCACAGCTACTGTAATGACCAGTGGTCACGATGTGACAGGGCAGGATCAGCTAGGGCAGGGTCAGTCTCAGACCAACACTGAATCCAGCACAAACACCACAGCTCCTGTAATGACCAGTGGTCACGATGTGACAGGGCAGGATCAGTCTCAAACTAATATTCAATCTCTGAAAGTGGGGAATTTATCACATAACGAATTGCTAGCTGCCTTACAGCCAAACCCTATGTATGTTGATGTAAAAACACCACAAAAGAAACCAACATCTACAGAAATGGCCAGTAACCATGATCAGGCAGGGCAGGGCCACTCTTAGGCTTATGTTTAATCTCATCTGGTATATTCACTCTTAGTACATAAGTAGTTCGTGGGTTGTGAATAATTACAGTTCAAAACTTGTTGTTGTAATAGGCCAAGTGGACACCAGATGATATGTTTGAATACTTAAATAATCATTTTAATACTAACCATGTAAATTACATTACTTAAGAGAAATGCAAACTATGTGGAGTTAAATAGTATCCAAAGTTGTTTAGGGGCTTAAAATTTCTGAAACTAAAATTCTTTATGAGACTCCTTCATACGTTATTTCTTAATGGCATAAGAATTGTACACAAATTTAGATGTTAGATTTAGCATTTGCGTATTAAAATAAACCGTTATCGTACTGACATATCCTTGTACAACTAAGAACAGGGAGCGTGTGTTTGGCTATGCACAATCCGAGTTTAAAAAGTGCAAATGATACAATTTTTCATACTGCATCCGCTACATAGTGATATAGTCAACATTGCTTTTTAAAAATAAATGTTGTCCTCACATAAGTAAAGTCATCATCGCTGCTGGGGTTTTTAAATATGATTGTTGCCTTCATACAAGTAATACCAACAGTACTTTCCACTGTTTGTACATGTACTATAATGCGACGAATTTAAAACAGAGTCAGTCAGAGCAAAAATTGGCTGGTGACTTAAATTATGATACGATTGTTTTACCCATGCATATTATATGCATATATGAATGCTCAGTACATTATTTAAATGGGCATTTTATGGAATCATGTATACTTTAAAAAATAAAATCATGCACTGACCCTACCCTTTAATTTCTAATTCTTGAGTGAGAAGCTCTAGCGGTTACGTAACAAATTGCAGGTTTCAGTGTTGCTCAATGTTTTATAATGAGCCAGTTTTCAAGCTCTTTTCTACTACTAGGTTAATGGTCACATTAATGTGACTAGATTTCTTCAGAGTTGTTACAGTTTTTCCATCCATCAATGCAGTGGTTTGATTAAAGGTTTGAAATTTAATGTTTGAATTACAAACTAGCCCAGTGTGTTGACTTCATGGCCCCTATCATGCCATTTGGGGCTATCATAGGATGCCTTGGTGTATTTTTATTACTCCGTGAAGGAGGTCAGGACCTCCGGACGGAGTGTTGTAATCGGCTGATTTTTCATGTTCGCAGTCAAAACACTGGGTTCTCTTTGTGTAATCGGCACGCAATTTTATACGCCGTCTGCGGGCATGCCCGTGTTGATGCACGAATGTGTATTTTTGCCGTTGCTGCTTTCGCGGTCAATGTAATATCGCAGACGCACCCCTACAATTACGAGGCGAATTGGAATGGTCCAGAAAAACGCGTTGTTTGGAATAGCAGTGGGGTTCAAAAAAGTTCATGCAGATACGGGGTGGTTTTTATAAGTGGTTCCAGATGTTTTTGCCCATGGTTAAGAGATGCCAAGTTTTTTGGAAGATGTTCGCAGCCAAAACGCATTCTTCCGTACGTCGCATTTCTGTGTAATTTCGCATGTGGTGTTGCATTATGTCCGGGATGATGCACGTCTTTTTATTTTTACCGTAGCTGTTTTGATATTGGAGTAAATGCTTATTTTCGAAACATCCCCATTTCTTTGAAATGGTTTCGTCCGTTTATGCAACTGTTACTGCGCTAATGACGACCAGTCGCGCTGTCCTGATACACCGCGAATGTGCGAGTGTTCCCTGTAGACAGTCCCGGGAGTCATTTTTTTGCACATTCCAGGAGCCAAACCAAAATACGTTCATGAACCGAGTCCAAAAAACCGAAACGTGAAAATCGGATGATCGGACCTGATGTACATTTCTCTTTCTATAGATTGTACACACAATACACACATCTTTAGATAATCTGGCCATGGCAGGTTAAAAAAAAGTAACCCTGAATCATACTAGATTAGCGTAAATGCATGTTAATGCGTTCAAAACAAGAAAAAATTGTTTCCGGGTATTAATCTCTTGAATCACGGCGCTGAATATTGACGCAAAAATATTTCGGGCATCGCGCGCCCTTCCCGCGTCACGTGTAGGCATCTCGCATCTCTGATTGGTTGTTGCGTCTTAAGATGACTGAGCCGACGCGCGTTTAAACAATTTTTCTTTGTTCGATTTATCACACTTCACAGAGAATTGTCGCCAATGGCTACTTCTTTTGTTGCAATATATAATACTTCACGGAGAATTGTCGCCTATGGCTTCTTGTTTTTTTCTGCGCTGTCGCTTCATAGTTTTCTTAAAAAATCAGAGAAATCAACAAATCAAACTGGTGTGGCCTAAAGACATAAATGCCTGAGAGATGCTCTGTTACTTCCCCACGTCAACATTACTTAAGATCCCATCACAGATATAGATCACACATTTCATTATGGGTTCACCACACCACGAAGTGGTGTGGTGAAACCATATTGCTTTTTCTGATGTTTCTTCTCCTCCTCCTCCTGCCATTTTTAAATGGATTCAGCTTCTTCATTTTAGGGCCTAAGGTCCTGAAATTTGGTATGGAGGTACAGTGGGCAAATACCCCTAGGCGTTTTTTAAATGTTTGTGATACAGGCTTTTAGAATGGTTTTATTTGAGTTTTTTGGCTGTATTATAGCTAATGTATTACTGTGTTAGTGTGCCATGTTTACCACGTCTGGGCATGAGTCATCACAATGGAATGCAGGGCATCAACCAATAGGCATGCAGCTTTCCTCTATACTTCTTGCTGATTGGCTGTTGGAATTTAACTTGATTAACACCTGCACACTGAGCATTTCCACCTGCACAGAGCATTTCTTGCTGATTGGCTGTTGGGATTTAACTTGATTAACACCTGCACAGAGTATTTCCATACTGACAGTATGTCTTTATTCAAGTGTTTTGGTGTTTTGGTAGGTATTTCAAGCTTTTCTGCTCCAGCATTGGAATGCGGGGCATGAACGTTTTTTTTTTATTTGAAAATCAACAGTTTGCATTATGCAATTAAAAATCCTAACCAATAAAGTAGGGAATAGCTATCCAACTGTTGTTTTAGTTGTATGTTACTTCATATTATAGTTATATCAATGTAAATCATTGTTTTCCCTTGTGTTTCTGATTCTTTCCCTGCCATGTGGTAAAATGTGGTGAACCCATCGCTGTATTTGCTCCAAAGCAAATATTGGCCTTTCTAGTTGTTATCTCCTTTTTCATGAACGTCTTGTGAGGGAAAATGTACCTTTTTCACCATGTTATGTATCTTCTGTGTATTAAAGAGAATTTTGCGCGAAAAATGAGTCAGTTTCATTGTGTTTTTAAAATATATTTGTTAATGGTATAAAGTATAAGAAGAGAGTTTTTGATCAGTGAAGAATGTAGTGTTATTTGTAGTTTTATATTAATTATAATCCACCTTTGCTCGTTTTGATCAATAATTATTTTCGAGGTTAGAGTAAATAGATACATGTAGTTTGGAAATACTACTTTTTTTTATAGATCTTTGCTTCATGTAATGTAAGCAAGCAGATGTTAAAGAGCAGTTGTGTAGGCGATTGTTATTATCAATTTCAAATGGTGTTGCTGTTTTACAGGTAGCGTTAGTGATTACTCAGTATTTAAGCCGACATTGGTAAGCTACTGACATTTTAACCTTTGCTGAAAGACATCAGCAACAACCTTTGTTGAAAGACATCAGCAGGCCCTGCCAGGAAACTGGGAGGACGTCGGAGCGTACCCGATCTGCCCACACTGAAGACGAGGAGGGAGGAGGCAGCAGTGCACCTGTTTGCGAGATGACCACCCCCTAAACGACTTGGTTCCGCCCACTAGGTCTGCAGCAACTGGACAGTCCCTGAGAAACAGAGAGGATCAGTCTGCCTCCAGCTCCCACTGCGCAATTCCTTCTTGCACTGCTATCCGGTTGTACAACAACAGACCAACACTTGATACACAGTAATCACTTTGTATATATGTAATGCTAAGTGTGTTCGCTTTGCTTTTATGGATCGATTTAGGTTGTAATTGAGATGCTGTTTTTTTTAAAGATATTCTACGTGTAACGTTACTTGTAATGTAAAATTTTGTGATGTGTACATTGATTCATGAATTATGTAACGAGGACGTAATTCGGTCAATTTTTGCCCGGGAGCTCCTTTGGACTTTTAATAAACTTGAAACGTTCATTGGAGAAACAGAGAGGTCTCTAAAAACCAGGTTTCAAGAACATACACGGCCTAGCTCTGCCAGTTCAGAGGTGTCACAACACATCCACATAGAGTCACCCGGACATTTTGTTTCACTTGACACTGTAAGGATTTTAGACACTGAACAAGACTATTTCTTGAGAGGGGTGAAGGAAGCCATATACATCAGGGCCCATCACCCTACATTGAACCGCGACGGGGGACGACATCGTCTACCAGGTACTTTTGACCCAGTGGTGACGTCACACTTCAAAGAAGCCACGTGACAAGCTTCACTAGGTCAGTCTACTGAGGAAGACCAGAGTGACCGGTCGAAAGCTCTAGGTGAGAGAATTGTTTTGGGTTGGACCAAAAGTTTAAACATATTTCATATAAAATTTTCATTTTCTCATCTTATGCTTACCACAGCTAAATTCAATCCACATCGCAAAACCTTGTCTAATATTTCAGTTTAATAAGTACTCTGACATGACATACACAATGTATAATCATCACAATAAAGTTATGTCTAATTTCTTATTTCATTTGGTGCCAACATTGCAAGCTCACATGGAGATTCAATTTTACATAATTTGTCAAAGTCCAAACCCTAAAAATTATAGCGTATGATTATGAATTATGAAAGGGAATTGTGACAGGACTCAATGCTGTTTGGATTGATAACTAATATCAACAGTTACATGTTAACATGGATGACTCTTGCAGTACAATGTATCTTTATAACAGCAGCAAACGCATGAAAAATCTTAATTCACAATTCAGCATGCAGTTAAATTGTCCCCTTTTGCAAGCTTCATGAAGCACCATTAAAATGACAACTTATTTGCAACATAACTTTGGTGTTTTGATAAAATATCGTTCAACCAACTAAACTGGAACAAAACATTTACAGCATTTGTAGAGTTGCAAAAGCCTTGTACATGTAAGGCCACACCACTTCAAATTCTTGGTTAACGAATTTTCCTAGAAAAATAATGGAGCGGGCGGGCGGGCGAAAAAAAAAAAACAGGCGTAGGCATCCTATTATGGCCAAAAATGGTACGATAGGAGCCATGAAGTCAACACACCAGGCTGGTTCAAAATATAAACAATGAATTTTGAACTTTTAATGATACCACTGCATTGAAAGATTGAATAACTGTAACAACTAGGAAGAAAAGGACTGTTTTCAACTGTTCAGGGCAAAATATGAGTATTTTTCAGTTGATTCTGATTTTTTTTTTTGCAAATTAGAAAAAAAAGAACTGGGCAAATCCGTTAACCAAGAAATTAAATTGGTGTGGCCTAAACTTGTGCAAAAAAAATAATTTCATCATACAAGGACAATCTGGTACATGATAGGTGTGCATTCAATTGAAAGAAGCAACTCAATTATGATTACTGGCAAATTCTCTTAACTTATGCATTTCTGGATCAACTACAAAATTGCATGTGTAGACAGCTGAAACTTTTCTTGATAAAACCAAGGACATTATAGGGCTATAACCTAGCAAAAGTCAATACAACCCAAGTTCTTTTATATTCTGTATGTTGTGTTTGGGAGGACAACTTGTAAAGGTGTCAATGCACCTGTTTTGTCCTCCCTTCCACTTGTATATCTGGTGGTAAACTCAAATTAACAAATAAACAAGTTACTCTGCCACAAACGAAATGCATGCAGAAGTGAAAACATGTAACAAAATTCCAAGCATTGCTTTATCAATCCTAATACATATATTATATTTTTCAAACAAGTGCAAATTAAACAATCAACAAGTTACCTCTGTTCGATAAAAGTACAATACTGCCTTGCCATTCGTATGTCACCATATGTGTACATATATGTATATGCAGTGAGTCTCTGTTCATTGTTACACATACAAAAATCAAAACTATGGATGCTTGTTATATACTGCAACAGTATGTAGAAATGTATCTAAATCAACCACACAAGGACCAACCCCACAACCAAGCAGACCTCAACTTAGCCTGGCAAATGCAGCCCTTCCACAGTCTAAAAACTCTTACAGCTACATGTACAGGCTAGGGTAGGGATGTAGCCTGGAAGCCAGACTGTTTCCAGGGCCTACACAGGGCAGCTCCTCAGATCCCTGGCAAACATGTTTAATTTTGCCACAGCCTTGACTTAGCGCCTGTGTAACAGTCTGGCCAGATGACATAAGAGCCCTGAATGTGGTTGTAAAATCAGGATCACAACATTTTGACTACTGCCATTGGTGGTAGCTAGAACACTCTTTTATGTAGGGTGCAGGGCTCTAGCCCGCTTTAATTTTTTCCCCTTCAGCCCAGGTTCTCAAATTACATGTAGGGGGGGGGGGCTGAGGCATGCTCACCCCAGAAATTTTGAAGCCTCAAAAAACTGTGATTTCCTGCAATTTGAGAGGCTAATCATGGGGTGAGAGTGGTTGTTGGTGGTCCTTTGGATGTTTTCATATTTTTAGTTTACACAAGTTTTTGGTCAATTTTGTCCATCAGGGTTGACAGATAAATATTTTCCCTCAAACGATCCAAAATTCTGGAAATTGATGGAAAAACTGGTACTGGCTAAGCCCTGGTAGGGTGTGGTCCTGAACAGTTTTCTGTATCTGGTTTCCATTTCTTACCTACAACTGTTTTTTTAGTCAAACTATAATTACAATGAACAACATACACCTTAAAATCTACCTTTAATCTGTAACTTTCACAATAGTACACCAAACAGTCATACATCTCTAAGTATGCTTATTTACATGCAGTATTTTGTATTGTAAACAATCTCAATCCTGGGAATAATAAATTTACTTTCACAAATAAATAAATCTTGCCCCTTAGTTAGTAAACAACAGTAAATAAGAGAGGGTATCCAGCAAGACCATGTTCCAAAATGTTGCTCACAATCTTTAACACGTGGCCCCTTTGGCAGATAAACTGTTGTTAGGCCACACCAATTTAATTTGTTGCTTCTCGGATTTTTTCAGAAAAAAATATGAAGCGACAGGGCGAAAAAAAAACAGGTCTAGGCATCCTATTATAGCCCCAAATGCTACAATAGGAGCCATGAAGTCAACACAAAAGGCTGGGTTAATATTTAAACACTGAACTTTCCTCAACTGTTGGGGACAAAATATGAGCATTTTAGTTGATTCAGAACCAGAATCTTTTTTTTTTTTGGAAATCAGAAAAAAACAAAGAGGCAAATCCGAGAACCAACAAATTAAATTGGTGTGACCTTAACAAGATAACATACTTAGATGAAATGCTTTGGTCAAAATCTTTGGTCAAATTGTACAGAAAAGCTGCTTGTAGGTGTTAGTTACATGTAGTAATAGTAAAAACAATACATGTATTGCAAATTAGCCATTATTTGCCAAGAGCCTTTAGAAACTGGTATTGCAGATACCACTGGGGTGTGGAAGAAAGTTGCCATGTTTATTGGTGGTACCAAAAAATAAAGGGACCCCTCACATAGCCTGTTTGGGGGCTCACTGAAATGCTTTAAGTATGAAATGATGATGAAAAAGTACTAACAATTTGCACTAAATGTTAGTATTTCCTAATCATGAATATTTTTGGCGATGCCTTAGGGGCGGAGGCATTTTTTTCACTTTGCTGCCCTGAAATTGCATTGGGTGCCTTTAACAAAAGCAGCATGTGTCATCAGACACTGCTGTTAAGTAACTGTACCACAAACACAGCAACTTTCTGTTCTATCAAGAAAATACAGAACGCTCGTGCAGATGTTTCCTGCACCGAACCCCAGGCAGTTACTACATTAGCAACCGCCTGACTTCCAGCACAGACCACTAGTTAGTGTAATAATTCTACAGGCTGACGTTGTGCTCATGCAGTGACAGTTCTCTTGTCACGCTGCTTGCTGCGGACCTTTGTTCTTGCCTTGAAAGCTGCAGAGTTGTACATGTGCTGCAAGGTAGAGAAGAGGACAGTTTCAGTGTGAGCCATCAGAATAACAGTACTTAGCTTTTTATACTAACAGACACCTTTAACCCAGTATTGACATCACATTTCAAAGAAGCCACGTGACTAGTCTCACTGGGTCAGTCTACTGAGGAAGACCAGAGTGACTGGTCGAAAGCTCTAGGTGAGAGAAAATTTTTTGTGTTGGATCAAAAGTTTTAACTCTAAACAAGTACTTGGCTTTGGCGTATTACTCTAGCACAGTGCAATTTCTCATGTTGTACTGAATATAGGGGTTTTCCTCTTAACAATGGTAATGTTTTTCACCTACTGACATTTTCATGTCTATCCGACACCTTCCTCAGACCTTCGGACTGGAGTACTGCTTCTCACCACTATATGTAGCCGATGTAGTTGGAGCTTTTGCAGTGAGAGCACAAACTTAACCAAATTAGGGAGCCTCAGTGTTCTCATTGCAAAAGCGCCACCTACATTTGCTACCTACAAATGCACAGCGGCAAGAAGCAGTACTCCAATCAGAAGCTCTGAGGAAGATGTCTGATAGAAACATTACTGGATTTGTAAGAAGAAAATCCCTATATTCTATGGCCTACCAAGCAGATGAAATTATTTTCAGACCCATATTGTACTGTATGCTTCATAACTGGAAGCAAACAACGTACTGTTCACTACAAAAACTGTATCCTATGACTGTAATATACTGTAAATCACTTAATATACGCAGTAGCAAAATTTCGCGGTCTGAGAAAAATGAACATGTTTGCGAAACTATATGTTTGCGGTGTTGGTAGGTGCAGCAAAAAGAAAGCTGGTGAATTATTTGTTCCCAGTAATAACCGTGAATATAAAAGTACCGCGAATATATAGTGATTTACAGTATACCAAACATGTGTATCAAGTTGGCTTACTCTCTCAAACCGGCTGATCTTATTCTGTTTGTTGTAGGCTGCTACGTCGATGGGGGCTCCCAAACTGAAGATGTCACGCAGGAGTTCATTCTCCTAAACATGGAAATTAAAAATATCAATGTTCAGTACAAGTCAACATATAAATGACAAACAAAACAGAATTCCAGCTAAAACATTTCAAACAGCTATCATTCAGTTGTTGGTATAAGTAGGAGATTTGGTACCCTTACATGCATAAGGTGCTCTTTTGACACATACATTTGTACACACTGTATTTGTCACAAATACAGGCTGATTTGAGCTTCTCGTGAATAAACAATGGCTTATATGAACATACAAAGGTAAAAAACAACAACATATAAAGCAACCTTCATAGTCCCATTTATTCAATGGGGATACAAGGGATCTGTATTTCCTGTTTCCCCACCCTAGCCTTTTGTTGTGTGGACTCCTGCAAGGGACATACATGTAAATTTTGCGAGCTGGATTATGGAGCTAGAAAAGGTCGATCGGCTCGAAAACCTGTTACTCACCGGGGTCCACACTGGTAGGGTCAGCAGTTTTTTCTAGGGTCGGTTGTGAAACGGGAAATAACACACACATAAGACTCACTAAAGACCCATACCTGTAAATGCTGGTTGACTCCAGCTCCCAGTGAGTCCTTGAAGGCCTCATACTGGCGTTTCTTCACCCAGCTGTCCAGGTAGATCTCCTCCACACTGAACCTCACCGTGTCGTTGGGAGCCTCGGCCTCCTAGAACACAAAACAGAACTAGTTCACTACTTTCATCCATAATGGGCAAGGCATCTGATGACATACAGTCTAAACTAAGACAGTACATGTATGTACTGAGCCACCAAATGATATACAAGTCATCCAGGACTCGCAACACCTACGTGCAACTTGCAATTTGCATGTGATTTTAAAATAAAAATATATGTAATAATTTGGACTGTACGTGTGGAATAACCAAACTGTGGAATACCTGGGCTGCTATATTGCTATTGCATTGCCACTATACTCATTTTAAAAGTGGTGTGTTTCTTTCCTATTTTCCCTGAAGATTTTTCTCAAGTGTATAGTTTGCAGGCATTTTCTTCCAGGTGCACTCACTACTGTGAAAAAAATTACCTTCATCATATTAAGTACATGGTGTTGGAGATTTTCATATGTATCCTGTTGTATATCTAGAGAAGACTGAAGGTTGAACTTTAAATTTTGCTTTTAGATTTTTTAAATTGCGTGTAAATTTTCTGCCAACATGCAATTTTGCATGTACATGTACATGCATAAAAGAAGTATTCAAGCCTTCGTCATTCCAAACAAAACGTTTTTAAACTTAAAAGTCAGAGAAAGAGAGGGAGAGAGAGATTGAGACAAAGACGAAAAGAGAGAGGGAGTAAGAGAGAGAGATAGAGGGAGAAAGAAAGAGGGAGAGAGAGGGAGACAGAGATAGAGAAACAGAGAGAGAGAGAGACAGAGAGAGAGACAGAGAGAGAGAGACAGAGACAGACAGAGAGAAAGAGAAACAGAGAGTTCGTACCTCCACTCCTCTGAGGATGTCCCTGAAGCTGGAGCGTTGTTTTCTCTTGTCGTTCTTGGCGATGTACTTGACGCTCTCAGTGGCCAGCTGCTTCAGACGGGCACACAGCGAGTCCAGGTCAGCACCCAGGAAATCCTGGTAAAACATGGCAACATGTGTGATTATCTAACTGATGTAGGAAAACTGGCTTAGCAACATTTGATCGAAAGCAAAGCACTGGTACATGCATGTAAGGCCAGTGGTTTGTTTCTTCTCAATGTTTTTTAGAAAAAATATGAATTAATGCGGTGAAAAACAAAAACAAAACAGATCTAGGCATCGTATCATATGAAAAGCTATGACAGGAGCCATGATATCAATGTCAACATATCAGGCTGTTTTTTTAAAATTTCAAATAATGAATTTTAAAATTATTATTTTATGAAATATACTCATATTTTGCTCCCAACAGTTCAGGGAAGTCTTTTTCATCCTAGTTGTTACAGTTATTCCATCTTCCAATGCAATGGTATCATTAAAAGTTCAAAATTCATTGTTTAAATTTTGAACCAGCCTGGTGTGTTGACTTCATGGCTCCAATCGTACCATTTTGGGCCATAATAGGATGCCTAGGCCTGTTTTTATTTTTATTTTTTTTGCCCGCCCGCTCCATTATTTTTCTAGAAAAATCCCTTAACCAAGAAATTAAATTGGTGTGGCCTTATAAGGGATTCCAGTCTAGAAACAAGAAAATTGAAGGAAAAAAAATGATAAAAAAGAACCACATTTCTTCAGGGCTCTGGCTTGTTTTTCTGTCAATTGCAAAAACTTTGCTGCATGTAATGGAAATTATTTTAAACCACTCCATCAACCTTGATGGACAAAATACACAAAAAATCTTGGGTAAAACTATAAAAACATGCAAAGGACAACCAACAATCACTCTCAACCCCCCGATTTGCCTCTCAATTTGTGGGAAATTGCACTTTAAAGGCTTGACAATCCAAAATCCTAGATTGCAAGCACTCCTCCCTGAGGTCCAATCATGAACCTGGGCTGACGGAAAAAAATTTTGAGCTGGCCTGTGCTTCTTCAATCTAACCATTGATGCTATTGGCTATACTATGGACCTATACCATTATTACGTCACAGTTTGTTTACCGCAATGAATGCCGGTCAATCGACGTTCATATTGTACAGGGGTGCGTATAGCGCTGTGTGTGTTTGTGTAGCGTTAGCCTAATAATATAAGGCTTTTAATACAGTACTACTTTCGTCTAATGTCACAACTAAATCACCCATGCGGCATGTAATGCTGTGTCAACACAACTAGACGCAGCAAAAATCAGACATACCTTATTTTGAAAACTTTGAAATGATCTTTATTCTTTAGTTTAACTGACAGTTCTAGAATAATGGTGTAGGTCCATTGGCTATACTATTGAGTACTTCTAAACCATGTACTGGTTTCTGTCCCTAGATGTTTAAAAAAAAAAGTCCTCTGTGCCCAACACCGTACCTCGTCCTCGGCCCGTGCTAGTTCATACAGCAGTGCGATGGCCTCGCCCGCCGTGATGCGCATGTTCACGTCATCACTCTGTAACAGCTGGGGCAGCTTGGGAAGGTGGCTGCAACACGGCATTATGGGAACATTAGGACCAGAAAGGGACAGTTCTAACATGGACATCATAATTATAAATGATGATATAAAAATTAAAATATGTTACATTATGTTGTTTGATTATAGGAATGACATCCTCTGGGAACTGCAAAACTGATTCAAGTGTGTGAAAAAAAACCCTGCCGAACCTAGCCTTTTTGTGATCGACTGACAAATCCTCCGTGAGTCTGAATTCTGAAATGTCATTCAACGCATTTTCAGAAGCAATGTTTTCTTTAGTAAATAAGGTAAAATATTTGTCCACAAGCAGACAGGCAGATGGGTTCTTGAAACAGTCCCAATGCATTGTTAAACTTTATTATCATATAGCCAGGTGACGTTGACCAATCAGAAGGCTCCATTCCACATTCCTTATGACGCCGTAATGTCACAAATAGAGTCAAAATCGGGTATTTATTCATCGCAATCCATACATTAAACAACTCAAATAATCACCCACAGAACAGGGCTCTAGTTCTAAAAAATCCAAAAATAACTTTAGTTGTGTTCCAATGACCTCGGCTGACTCCCATAAGAACACCTGTTCCCTGCCTGTGACCCAGATAGAAGACATAGAACGTGAACTCTACCCAGTGACCTCAGGTGACTCCAGAGGGAACTATGTTCTTTGTTCTATTCAGCATGTGCATTGTATCACAATACTGCATCAGTTTGGATAGACTATCGTGTAAGCTATATGATAATAGTGTTAATGTCCCGCCCTTTCTCGGTGAATATGGTGTGATAAAGCCTTGTCAGTCGCTATAACCACCTCATAATTATTCTGTGGTTATAGCAACTGACAAGGCTTTATCACACCATATTCACCTCGGGGCGGGACATTAACCCTTAATTAATGACTGTTGGATCCTTCAAGAAGAAAATCCCTACCTACCGACCCTACTTTTTTCAGGACTGAAACCAGAAACACAAGTTGGGCATTAAAACTGTACAACTGGATAAATTACGTAGATTCTGTCCGGACGTTTCTCCCTCACTCTTCTTCAGCGTCACGTGATGAATAAATCAAGTTCATTTAGTGACTCAAAAGAAGAGTGAAGGATGTCACTTGAAACGTCCGGAAATAATCTCCTTAATTTACCCAGTAGTCAGGCTTTTAGCTAGGATTTTTTTGTTGGGCGTCCATTTTTTGCATTGTATGCTATGCTCAGCAAAGATGCACGGTGCACAAGCTTTTTAGGGGGCCTTTTTTGAAAGTCAAAATGCTCTCAAACACTACTTTTTGCATTTTGAGTTACAAATTTTGAGGAATTTGAGTTTTTTTCCTTCAGTAAACCATCATTTTTGTATTTATAGTAAGGCTGAAGGGAGGCATGTGTGCTTGGCAGGGGTTGGGAGTGGAAAAAAACAGGGCGTCTTTAGGGTGTCCTACCAAAAAGTAGGGCGTCCAATTTCTTAGTATTTTCAGTACAGGGCGTCCAAAAGACACCCTGGACACCCCCTAGCTAAAAGCCTGCCAGTAGTGGAGTTTAATTTCTCTTAAGATATTGTTTACCTTATTCAAAATCTAGAGAGACGTAATAAAAACTATGTTCCTTACGTTTTGACAAACTCCTGTACTTTAGAAGGTGGTGCTATGGACAGCAGCAGGGTCCATGCTGACAGAGCGGCGCAGTGCAGGGCCTGCAGCGCGGGACTGTGGGAAGGCGACGTGCCGTCACCCTTCAGGTACGCCGCGCAGAAGATCTTCTCCAGACTCGTCATGATGTCAACAACCTCCTGTGGAACGTAAAACACAATCAAGTGCTCGAATAAAAGCTCATCTGTGTTGGTACAATACATAGTTAGAAAGTTTAAGCTTGTTCCAACACAAGGAAAGAAGTCACCATAAATGTTCGGTTGATCCCGTCAACCTTCGTGTGAAAGTCATCACGCTTACGACTTCCGGAAAGTGATCAGTGATTGCATCACACATCTGACGAAAGTTGACTGGATCAACCGAAAATTTATGGTGAGTTCTTTCCTCATATTGGAACAAGCTTAAACTTTCTAACAATTTAGTGCCGTGAACCTAAACCCACATTTAGGTCCAGGCTTGGATTCAAGTCCAGAGGTTTAGGTTCAGGGCATATACATGTACAAAATACGGAAGGGACTTCTCAGTGAACATTTCCAAATGGAAAATGGCGAGAACTGCACTACCAGAGTTTAGAAACAAGATATGTTGTTTGCGGATATGTATCTTTGCATGTGAATGAAAATAAGTATTTTGAGCCCTGTGTATGCATGTATACATGACTGTTTTCAGTACTTACCTCCATGTCCCCTGCAGCTATGAAGCAGATGAGGCCCAGGGCTTGTGCACACTGTATTAGAGAACAGAAGTAGTTAATACGCATTGATCATGTGCAACCTGCCAATATATACAGAATACAACACGGGGTATTCCGGTATTGCCCTAGGTATTTTATTTATGTCATACCCATCCAAGAAAACACACCTTTCAATGCGAAATGAGCGAAAATTTGGTGTCCCTAAAGCCAAAAAAATGCAACAACATCAATTCCAACGCCCGAATTTTGTATTTGGATTTTCGAAAGCAATGCACGCGGTTAGGGCGAAACGCGTTTGACTTGTTATATGGTACATTTGGAAGCCCGGGCCGTACGTGATAAGAACCCCCGGGCCGTACCGCTAGTTATCACACAGGCTGGAACACCTGTATCGAACATAAGGCCATGTTGATTTGATTATATGGATGACATCCGCGCGCGCATGAATTTTCGGCCGTTTCCAAAAAAAAAAAAGTTTTCAACCACACTGTAAATCGTACAAAACAGTTGCAAAATGAGCAAAAATATACCATAAGTTAAAAAAAAAAAAAAACTATACCAATGTCGTAGAATGCCAAAATCAAACGAAAAAAGACGAAATTGTAACAGGGCTCGTGACTGCGACTGATTTGGTCGCATATGCGCCCAAAATTTTGACGGTGCGACTACATTTGAAATCACGGTCGCACGGTGCGCCAATAAAAATTTTAGCCTAATTTCATTCCATTGTCGGCACAATCTTGTGAATTGTCGATCTCGCCATGACGCCGCAAAGAAAACGCTGTCATTGGTAGAAAATCTGACACCCCACTGGCGTTTCACAGCAAAATTTTCATGTGAACAACTCCGAATGTCTTTGTTTACATCGTGAAAGCTCACCGATACTCCCGCCGGCCGCCCGCACCCGACCACATGGTCGCGGCATGACGCTAGTTTTCGGCAGCTCGGCGGAAAAATAATCCATCCCCAGAAGAAATGTTACGCATGAAAATAACAACTACAACTTGCTTTCCTCGTTATATGAGTTTTTGAGGCCGTAAAATGTTTAAAACCGTTGAAATTTGCTCGAAAAAACGGCTCGAAAATCTACGGCGAGACTGACAAAATGGCCGACGGTGTTTCACAACAACAGTGGTCAAAGGTCAAGATAGCATCCAAATGTACAAGATACATGTACTAAGTACATATTACAAGGTGCCAAAACGAAACTTTAAACGCATGAAAACATTTTTTTTCGGCTACAACTGAAATAAAAATTCACTTATATTTTTATAAGGTTAATTTTCAAACATTATTGAGAAATTTTCCGAATTTATTGGTATCTTGTGTTAGTGCGGTTGGATGCTGTGATTGTGAAGTCCCTAATAGTAATACATTGGGAGAATCAGATGAGATATTAAAGATTATCATGCTTAGTATCGCGACCCGAGTGTCTCTCAAAAATTGTTTTTGAGTGGAGTTTATAGACATGATCACTATTTTTATTTGTTCAGCTGTGTCAATATGTGATTTGTTTGGGAAATAGGATTTGGTTTAGTTTTTAATATATCAATGTCAGGTACACCTTTGGGAATAATTGCTCCAAGTTCCAGGTAGTAAATACATGTACATTTTGTATCATGTATTTTTCACTTGTTGAACTTGTGGAAGCACCGTTGGCCCCCGGTTAGGGGTCATCCGGGGAACCTATGCCCAATTTTTTCAAAACTAAGGATGCTGATAGAATTTTTTTTTAAGGAAATGTGATCTAGCTTAGTTTTTAATATATTAACACCTTTGCAATACAATATTTTTTGTTGGTGCGCCTAGATTTTAGCCTGTGCTCCTAACTTTTTATGGTTAGGAGCACAGTGCTCCTAGGTCAAAAAGTTAATTTGGAGCCCTGTGTAAAGAAATGAACTTGAAGACTATATTATTCGCCAAACCATATTCTGTGCCATTTGCTCAACCCTCATGACCACGTAGATTTCATAATGAAAAGAACTTTTTTTTTTTGCAAAACTTTTTTTTATTCGCACGCGCGCATGAGTTTTGGGGCTCCCGGAGGATGTCATCCATATAATCAAATCAACATGGCCTAATCGCGGCCCAGGTAGGACATAATAGGTACTTACAGCAGCTCTGGCAGTGGCTGCTGCAGACTTGTCGTTCATGATGGTGATCATGATGGGTTTCAGGCTGTTGTAGATCTCCTCACACCCCTCCCTGGAGCCCAGCTGGACACACAGCAGTGAGCCTACTGATGCAGCCAGGGCCTGCTCCTCACCCTTTCCTGGGGAAAAACACAGCATGGAACAAGGTATTCATTTATTTATCAAGTTTTACCACGTACAATATGCACTGTGGACGGTATGGCGAAACAGGTGTTTCTGACATGAAACACCTTTTCAAAGCTGCCATACCAATAAAATGACAAGACAATACAAAAAGTAATCAAATCACATAATACAATTTGAGAAACAGATAAATAAACTTAGAACTACAAGGCAAGTCAACTTATTAACATTGAGGGAGTAGTATTCGTGACAACAAATAACAACAGTTATATAGCCAGTAGTGATATCACAGTTAGCGCGGTCTTGTGGCCAGACAAGTAGCGCAACCACAAGATAACTGCCACGTACAAGGTTGCTCTAAACTGTAGGTTTGGCAAAATCTGCTGTACATAAATGAGGAGAGTTTCCTTTTAAAGGCAACCACATCAGTTAGGATTGAAGCCCTAATTCCTAACCCTCTAGTATCTGCATCAAGCTTATTCCAAATCGTTGTAACACGTGGTATAAACGAAGATGCAAAAGAGGATGAGTTGAAGCTGGTGTGATACGCCGAAGGGCGGTTATACCGGCTATACCGATACAGAAGAGTTCTAGTTTCTTGTATTACTGTGTTGTAATACAACAGTACAAGGTGAAGAAAAAGTTATGTGAGTTGTACAGGTAGATATAGGGAAGTAAATGAAACTTCCACCTTTACTAATTCAAAGACAATAAAATTTCAGTCAAATCATGTTTTTGAATGCTTCTGTATCTGTATTTGTATTGGTGTAACCGCCTTAGCTTTGCGGGCACGCGGCCATTGTCAAGTTAAAAGTTAGGCCTAGGAAAATAAATGTTGTGTTTCCTGTTTCCCGACCGACCCTAAAAAAACCGCCGACCCTAGCCTTATTTTTGTGTGGACCCCTGCATATTGCTGAACCAAAACATTTTGCACGACGCTACCGAGAGAATCGCTGTCATTGGTGGAACGTCGGGCGCCCAGCTAGCGTTTTGAAGTCGTGTAAACAACGCTAATAATTTGTCTGATTTGTTTGTAAAACAAAGCCATCGACTCCGAAAATAAGTTTAAAAGCCGATACATTTACGAACTAATCGTAGAAAATTCCCTACCGTACTGCACCATCAGCATGCGGCGGCCGCAAAAATTCGGCAACGCGAAAGAAAAATGTCTGGTCCATGATAGCAGTATTTCTCATAAAAATAATGTATATGATTTATTTTTCCCCCTTTGTCGGTCTTTTAGTCCCAAAACGTCTAAAAAAGCGGAAATTTGTCCATAAAACCGGACGAGGAAAGGTAGCTATCGACGTAAACAAATTATAAGCACATGGCGAAAATCAGCAAAATCGGCAACGGGACAGAAAAATGCCTGGTTCATTTATCGATATTTACCATGAAAATGTCGTCTGTGGTGTA